CCCCAAAACCCCAAAACCCCAAAACCCCAAAACCCCAAAACCCCGAAATTTTCGAGAAAATTGTAATAATTTAGTTTTGGAATGGAGTCTTACTACCAAAAATATTTAAAGCCAGGAGGTGCACAAGTTCAAAGTACATCCTCTATAGATTATTATACAGATGATGAGAGGAAGAGGAAATAAGAAATTTGATTCTCTTCTTCCAGACGATATCAAATCTTATGGACATTATAATCAATATAAGGATGAATTGTCAAGACTTAATGGCCATGAGAGTAAAAACAAGGAGGCCAGAGACCTTTATCCAACTTCTAGTTCTCATTATAACCCTTATAATGGAGGTTCAAATCAGGGATATGGCCAGCAATATAATGCACCAGCGCCTGCTCCAATGCCAAGGACTGCTAGTTTTGGCCAATATGAGCCTCCAACTGAACCTACGGAGCCTGTCCCTCAGCCTTCTTATTATGCTCATCCTGCTTATGATGTGCCTAAATACCAGCAAGAGTATTCTTCGCCGCCTCAGCGACATTTTATTCATAATACAGAAAGGAAGAGGTTGCAAGAAGCTCAAAATAATTATTATGCTAAGAAAAGGCTTGGTGCAGGAACTGCCTTGAGCGATCGGAGTCTAACCGGCCGATCTGAAGATCTTAACTCCAGGCAGAAAGGCAGGAGAGACAGATTTGAAGATTTCATCAAGTATACTGCACCAAGGCTACAGTATAAGAAGATCGTTAAAATACAGGCACTTCTGAGAGGAGCCTATGTTCGAAAGAAGATCTTCCCTCAGATCATGCAGTTTCACGCTGCAAGCGTGAGAGTGGTAGATTCGATGATAGATCACTATATCGAGGATGTCTACCTCCCTGATTTGCTGCTGGAGATCTTGACTAAGAACAAAGTCTATGAAAACTTTGACTTATATTCAGATGAAAATAAGATTTTATATGAAGTCAGGTATTCTTTAATGGAAAAAGTCATTCGTGATATGGTCAAGGAGACTCTTAAAGAGTCAACTGACAAGATTGTTAATCGATACCTCCACAAAAGGTTTAAAGACAAAGATGTTGACGAGAGAGATCCCATGGCCATGGTGGTCAAAGGCATCATTGATGGTGTCATGAAGCAGCAGATTAAAGATTTAGCACAAGAATCGATTAAGGACCTTAGTCTTGATTACTTGATAGAAGCTCAGTTTAATTCGCTTTTTAACCGAGTCTGGCTTCCAAGAGAGGTGGAGCATACAGTTGTAGACACTATTGAAGATATGGCAATCAGAGAGCTCATTGATGGACTTCTTCATGATATTATTAGAGAGGAGGCTCCCAGAGTAGCTGAAGATGCTATAGAAGCAGAAAAAGACATCCAAGACACTGCCATTTTAAAGAATGCATTTGGAGAATTCCTTGATAGATGAATTCATGAAGTCTGAGTCCAAAATATTGGTAAAATCTATGAGACTGAAGAGAACAAGATTCATGTGAAAGAACAACAAGAGAAGGCTCTACGAGATCATGCTAAGCTTAAATCTAACCAGGTTAAACAGGAATTCAGAGCTCTGAATGAAGAACTTCAGAAAGAAAAAGAAGAAAAAGAGAAAATGCTCAATACTAAGAACCAAAACTAGCCGATATAACAATTTCCAAATTTCAACTTATTAAATTATTGTTGGGGTTTTGGGGTTTTGGGGTTTTGGGGTTTTGGGG